TAGTTAGACCCTTCCAGGCATTTTTATAAAAATGAAACAAGTCCAGGAATGCACACCACCTTTCCATACATCTCTTGTAAAATCACAATAGCAAAATCATTAATAAAGCTTGTCCACCATGGATCAAGTTGTTTGTCAATCCAGCTATGTTCCACATCAATCTCACCCAAAGATCAAACAATTTGCTTCTCCTTAGAATCTAGTCAATCTTGAGTCCACAAATACAAGATTAAGATAATCATTGGTAGGAACCGAGTTCTTCAAATGCTTATCGTATTCCCTACTTTGCAGAGGGAGACCATCTTTTATTTCCATCCTGCTAAGAAGACAGTTGACTGCCCCTTTTGTCACCAGATACCTAACATATAGGCTCCTAAAACTAACTCTCAGTGGGATATCTAGCTGATATTCTTATTGATTATAGCCTTGATACATAAACTGTTTTCCAATAGCTTAAGAAAAATGTCTTTTGATTAAAAATCATAGTATTTTCTGTTTCACACTAAAAAGATTCTCTCTCGAGTGGATAAAAAATAAATAATAAAATAATTTTGCTCTCTTAATTTTTTGTTTCTGTTTCTAATGGAACTAAGCTAAATCAAAATTGGGAAGGAACTTTTTGTTCGTCAGGAACTGACTGTCAGTTCATCAACTGTATCAGTTTTCAAGAACTGATAAAATCCTTACTATTCAGAGTTTGGTTTAGTTTTTTTGGTTGTTTTTATTAGACCCATTCTTTGAAATGTCTTCGTCAATTTTATTATTGTTTAATAAAATAACCTGTGCTTCTAGGTGTGATTTTAAAACCACAGATTAATTTTCTGAGTACTGTTAATACATTGAGAAATAAAACATTTCTTTCTTCATTTTCTTTAAGCAGCATAGTAACAACTGAAGATATGAGAGACACCTTGGGGTTTTTATTATCTGAGGCATCCTTGTTGACTTCATTTTTCCCCACTGTACAGCTGATTCACATAACCCCGTCCTGTCTCCTGGGAGGACTGAGCCAGGCAGTGAAGTAAAACTCCCTCCCACTCAAAGTATAATCAAGAGTAAGGGATAGTTATGAATTTGGTAAATCTATATTAAAAATTTCCTTCTTCTAGAGTACCTATAACTGGTGGGGGGGTAAGAAGTAGGTTGTCTTCTTCACTTGTCTTTTCTTTCAACAGTTCTCTTTCACTAAACTGTATCAGTGAACTATTTGTGAAGATGTTACTGGGTTAAAAGAAGTTCTTTTTAGGCCTTTTTTGAACAACCAGTCTTGTAATTTTCAGTAATACAGACAGACCTTTAGTTCCTGATAGCAAAGGTATAAAGACAAGGGGTGATCCTATTGTGGGGGGAACTAATGATCATATTTAAAAATGCCACAGTTCTGCTATAAACCCATTACCCAGACCTAGGAATTCCTTCCCTAAAGCATAGGCAGGCTAATTGAAAGGACCAGCTATTGCACTTAAAAATGGACCAAGTTAAAATAATAATTCAGATAACCAAAAGGCCAGCACTCTCTGGCTTCCACCTCTAGGGCAGCAGCAGCTTATAAGGCTCCAGCTGACCCAGGTGAAGATGACTCCCCTAACATAGGTGTAGGCAACCTTTTCCAACTGAGGGCTAGAGTCCACCCTAGGTTGGAGCCTGGTAGGTGGGTGGACACAAAAACCCTGTCACCGCTGCAGCTCATCTCCCCAATGCCACATGGAGAATGCCTGCAGAAGGCACTCCCTACTGCCAAATGCTGCCGAAGCCCCATGACCATATGCTAGAGCCAAAGGTTCTAGAAACAGGGCAGATCTGGCCCAAGCTGCAGAGTCCGGCTCTAACCGTCCCTAGGAGGCTCCCTGTCACAGACTATAGATTTGAAGCAACCTGGCCCCAGGAGTGTGGGAGGAGTGGAGGGGACAAGTTGGGCTGCAAAGCCAGCTCCATCTGTGCGTCAGCCTGCCCGCCCACCCTCAGCACAGTGGATTGATGGGGGTGGAAGGGGACAGCCACGGCAGCAGTCAGAGGATCAACTGTAAGAGTAGCTGGGACATGTGCAGGGTAAGAGTGCATTTATTTTCTCTTTCAGAAATAATTTAATGACACTATTGTGACACAACCCACCCTTTGGGAATCACTAGCTTATTGTACCAGAGTCAGCTTGGAAGTCATTTTAAGCCATTTGACCATATTTTTAAAAAAGATTTTACAGGGGCCAATTACCTAGAACACCTACCCACAGTCCAGCACTGTAGATCTTACTTCTGTGTGTACTCTATAAATCAGTCAACTTAACTGCTGCAAGTAATATTTCAGAATCAGCTAATCATTCCCCCATCTCACACGCAAACAATTTTTTTTTCCATCCAAGTTCAGTGTTGGCCACTTAATGCACCTATGGAAACTGATCCCCTTATTGAGTCTGTGCTGATTATGAGGATGAACTTCTCATACTGATGTTTATTAGTTAAAAGCTGTATTCAAGACAAACAGCAGTAGACAATGTTGGTGAAGATCTGTATTTGTAGTTTGTAAAATCAGGCTGCTTTTTAAAAAAAAAAATAAAAAGCAAATGGACAAAAAGTACAAAATTGTTTGTTTTCAAGTATAATGTACTATTACAAAGAAAGGATACACTATAAAGCAGAAGTATTTATTTCTTGTGAGCTACCCAGCAGAAAAATTGCTCTCCTATAGCATCTTTCATTATCTTTGGAAAAATCTTCCCCTCAGATGCTGTATACCATTATCAAAAGGCTTCACTACAAAAAAATCAAGTGTCCAAACAGATAGCTTTCAGACTTTTTGGAAAATGTATTGTAAATGCTACAGTTACAGGTAAATGGTGATTGCATAGGTTACATAAAATATTTTAAGGATAAAATTATGTTTCTTTGTATGCATGACTGCAGTAGACCATCTCTATTTTGCAACAATGAAACGTAAGTAGAGGGAGAGTAAACATAAATCATCAAGGTCCTCTGGCTCTTCATGTGTTTGACTACAGACTCAAAAAAGAATGTAAATATGTACTCAGTCAGAAAAATCAACACAGGAGGGCAATGAATAAAAGCCAAGTAGTGACAGGCATTGGGAGGGAAAGACTTTCTATTTCAATTAAAACAAAGTAGCAGGAAGATTTTTTTTCAAGAACAATGCACAAACAGCATAATAACTGGAACTTAATGTATTAAAATGATGGCATTGCCAGTAATATCCAGGGTCTGAGGAAGGCAGAGGATACAGCAAAGTTGCCTCTTTTGGCAGACAGACAAGAAATCTTAACAGTGATAGTTTAGTGAATCTCTCAAAACTCCTGCAAAAAATTGTCTTTTATGAACATATAAGCCAAGGTTAGGGGAGGGCAATGACAACTAATCTTTTTTTTTAACTTATTACTATTATTATGTACTCTGAATGGTCTCTGACCTCAGTCTAAGGGAGAGACTGTTGTTATTTCAAAATAATACAGTTTGGCTTTAATAGAAACTTTATTTTGGAATGAGGTATCAGATGGTGTGGTAAGCTACCACCTAGTTTTTCACAATACAGTCCATTTTTCTTCCTCTCAGTTTCACTTCAAGGCCCCTATCATCTAAGAAAGGGCTACCCAACTGGTAGTCTGAGGACTGCATGTGGCCCCCAGTGGATTAACATGCAGCCCCTGGGCTCCCAGTCAGGGCATCCCTACTCTCACTGATCCAAGAGTTCCTGCAGCTGGAGTGTCTGGGCTCCCCCTTCCTTTGCTGGCTTCCAATGCTTGATCCCACTCTGGTAAGTCTGAGGAAGTCCAAAGCCAGGTGATTTGGGGGGATCCAGGGAGTCCATGCAGGGCAGCATGGGGCACTGGCATAGTACTGGAGGGCGCCTGCTGTTTGGTGGATTAGGACCCCCACCAGTCAGAGGTTAGACATTCCTGATCTATGAGACTGCATTTAAATCAAGTTTTCCAAGAGACAAATTCCCCTGCTACAATTGATTCAAAACAGTTCCTTGTCTGGAATACCCACTCTATAAATCAAATGCAACAGCCATTAAAACGGGAGAAAGAGCATTTACAGTGGAGAATCCAGGACCTACAGGACAGCCCATGTAAAAGAAACTAGACAGAGGGTAAACTTTCGGTAACAATATTCATGAAACCTTTTGCCTTGGCACTTCCACACGGGAGATAATCAATTTGCTCAGCAACAGGAATTTTTGCACTGGTGAGGGAGGGGAAAAGCTTTTACCTTCTTGGCAACAGTAACCTGCAAAGCAGCAAGAAGTGCTGTCCCTTTTGGAGAGGTTTCACGTCCTTTAATTACTGTTACGCTGCCAACATAATAAGGCAATTTATCTTACTAAGCACCTCAATAAAAGAGGTACTATTAAAAAGCCTGCTTGTAAAAAAAGTTCTGAGTGACTTGCTGACTTGACTGCCATGACCAGTGCATTAGCTTGGTAAACTCTTACTACTCTAAATTTGATACACAGAGGTGGCACAAACCCATTCTGTGTCTGAGAGAGTTCCTGGGATACGGAAGAAACATTCATCTGTGTAGTAACTCTAAACAATCTGGCCATTTCTGTATTTTCCAAGGTATTTTTAAAAGCTACCCATGTCTGCCATTTATAAGTTTGACTCAACAGTGTCCCCTAAAATTGTAAGTTTCCACTCTGCAGATTTTTTTTAAAAGGTACTTCAAATACCACACTCTTCTGACAACAGTCTCCAAAAAACAGCAAGCTTAATGTTGGGTAGAGCAGTTCTTCCTACATCTTCTAACTTCTCCCTCTCCCCTACCCAAACACAGAGTCCTAAGAAATTGGTCTTCCACTGCCTGCTCTGTGTACTCATGCACCATCATACCTACCGCATTGGAGAGGTAGGGGCACTGGATAATTTGGATACATTTCTTAGTGTAGTAAAACATCCATGTTCTTTTAAAGTCCTTTAACCCAATTTTCTGCTTAAAATCTCAGCTCAAGGGAAAAAAAACCTAATTGTTTTCCCATTCGGATTTACTTACAAGTAATTCATCCATACTGGTTTGGCATTTTTCTAAGTTGATTCGCTTTATTGCTACACGTTCTTCTCTGGGTTTGCATAGCGCTGCCTGGACTACTGCTGTAGCTCCACTCCCTGGGGAAGAAAAAGAAAAAAAGAGAGAGAGAGCTAGAACAATTGGAATGCACATTTACTAACAGACGCCCCTAAACTTTGTCAATTTAAGAGACAGGGGCCTCACTGAAGTGTGCCCAAGGCAGTACTGCCCCCCTATGCCCTACCTTTCTTGTTCCAGCTCCAACTTCAGCTCCAGCAGTGAGGAGGACAGAGCAGTGGTGGCTGTTTTTTGGCAACAAAAGGGAGGTAACATCTGCCCCAGCAGTAGCGAACCTCTGGCTGCTCCTCCCACACTACATAATGCTGCCACTTCTGTGCTCTCCCCACTGCCTGAGCCAGAGACAAGGAAGGGAAGGTTTGTGTGGGGTGTGGAAAGGAGGAAAGAGGCAAGCGGCTGGGGGGAGGGCGGAACAGGAAGGTAAGAGCCCCCGGCTCCATTCTGGGCCCCCTTTAGGGAGCACCTGCACCTTGTGTCTGGTTTGCGCACCCATTGTTATGCTACTGTTGAGAATTATTAGGCATAAGATTTAGTGCTACCCAGTCGCTAAGGAAATTGCTGATAACCAGGGAACCGGGTTTTCCATTTGCCATGGAAAAACATGGATTTCCTACTCTAAAGGAGAAAATTACAGATTTAAAGGAGAAAAACCCAGGAAACTGGCTTTCCCTTTTCAGGCCAGCAGAGTTCCAGGCTGCAAGGGGCTTCTTCAGGCTGGAGGAAGTGGGACACAGGGGGCACGACATGCATGTATGCATGCACATGCACACGTGGCAACTAGGCAGTATGGTAGAGAGCAGCTCCCACAGCTTCCTCCAGATAAGTCTATACG